GGGCAAGCAGCTTCCCTACAACGCTGAGAAGAGAAATGCCATGGTAGTTATTGCAGTCGCCCCTGTCTCCTTTGTTCTTGTACAATGTAACGATGTTTGCATCCTTCATGTCCTGTGGTACTCCACCTTCCCTCCAGCAGAGACAAAAGACTTCGTACAGTTCGGTGGTGATGATCTCCTTACAGCATTTCAGCACTTCAGCAGGGATGTTATCCTTTCCAGGTGCCTTGCCGGAGGCGAGGGAATCCAAGGCTGCTTTTATTTCTGCTAAGGTTGGTTCGCTGTCCAGCTCTTCCAAGACAAGCAGGCACTCAATGTTATTTAATGCCTCTTTGGTTACTACATTCTCTCTAGAATATAGCTCCGAGTAGTGCTGCACCCAGTGTTCCATCTGCTGTTCTTGGTCCTGGATAATCATGCCTGTAGCAGTCTTCAAAGGAGCAGATTTCTTCTGTATTGGACCTAAAGCCTGTTTGATATCACCATACATTCCCTTGATGTCATCTGTGTCTGCTGCTCTCTGAATCTGAGAGCAGAGCTGAAGCCAATAATTGTTAGAACATCTGGCAGTCTGTTGGACTTTGCTATGAGTAACTCGAAGAACCTGTAAGTTGTACTCACTAGGACAGGCTTTGTATGCTGCTAGAGCTCTCTTCTTTTCCTCAATGGCTGGCATTAACTCCTCTGAATGGGCTTCAAACTGTCTTTATTCTCATTTTGACTCTGCTGCACACCAGGGAGTGATCGGTATCGCAATGAACACCCTGATAACTGCATTTGATCATCATACTAGGAAGGCTAGAGCATCTATTGAGGAGCAAACGAGCAGATGCCAATGCTTCGATCTTGGATGTCTCCAAGAGACTTTGTGTTGAAGTTTTGTATTAAAGAACGTGTTGCTGACACAGAGACCATAATAACAGCAAAACTCTAGCAAATATTGGCCATTTTTGTCTATCTTCCCAATGCCAAAACAGCCTAGACAAGTGGGCCAAGAATTGTGAGCAGCAGCAACTTTAGCGTTAAAGTCTCCAAGAATGAACAGTGGCTCTCTCGCGGGGATTTTTGTGATAGTAGCTGCCAGATCGTCATATACAGTGGAACCTCTACTTATGAACTTAATCCGTCCAAGAAGATGTTCGTTAGTTGAAACGTTCATAACTAGAAGCTCCATTTCCCATAGGAATGCATTGAAAACCATTTAATGCGTTCCGGCCAAAGAAAAAAAATACACCCACCCCCCAAATAAAAAGAACACAGCAAGCCCGGTCGGAAGGCGCTGGGGCTTTAAGGGGGGAAAAAGAAATCCAAAACTAAACAACAAAGCCAGCTCTGTCACTGCGGCTTTAAGGAAAAAAAAATCCAAAACTAAAGAGTAAACCCAGCTCCATTGCTGAGTCATTAAGAAGGAAAAAAGCCACCAACAACAACACAGAAACCTATCCGCCTCAGCCAAAACCCACCCAGAACAGGTTTTTAAAAGGAGAAAACAGCAACTTACCTCCCTGCAGACACACACACAGGCTCACTCCGAAGCAGGAGGCTCTCCCAAGCCTCTAACTGCAACACACCCTATAACTGTCGAAAGAGCTACAGCACAAAGCAGCAGCCTCGGCGCCACCTACAGTTAGAAGTGTGAATTGTCCGCCTTTTTCCCTGCCTTGTTCTGTTCATATCTTGAAGCTCTGTTCACAAGAAGAAGCAACATTTTGCAAACAGAGCTGTTCGTAAGTTGGATTGTTCATAGGTAGGGATGTTCGTAAGTAGAAGTTCCACTGTAATTTGTCTTTGACTTCTGTTGTAGACAACAGTGTTGGTGCATATGCACTAACG